TGGGAAATGCGGCGCTGAGAAGAAAAGGAAGTTGTTGGTGCTAAATTAATGTTGTTTTCAGCTTTAAGATCTCGATTTTTTTGTATAGAGAGTCGGTTATAATGCTGTATTCCTTTAATTCTGGCGCTGTTTCTCTGGATTTCTGAAACGTCGGGGTCTTGGGCGCGAGCTGAGAAGCTACAGGAAGATATCGTATGTATTTTCTCATAGAAAATCCCACCCAATAACCTGTTTTGTTCAGTTCGTGGTCTGATAAGACAATTAAGAGATTCGTCAATTAAATTTAAAGGGAAGATAAGAGAACGTTCTTCTGATGTACTCCTCAGTCATCTCGCACTTGAGTGGGTTAATCTACTACAATCCTGTCTTGTTCAAAAGAACGATTTATTTGGATATTAGGCTAATGATGATGGGTTATCTGTTGATTTTTGTGATGTGATTCAACTTTTCTATTTTAATTTCAGGAAATACGCAAGTTGTTGATTATGATGAAGGAAATTGGGATGGATTTGGAGAGGGACAATCAGTCGACGATGGTATTATGGATAAAGAACCCTTGTTTCAATTTACTTTGGAAGAGTGTTTTCAGGATAAGATCTTGTAATAAAATGTTAGAAGCAAGAACACAAATTTCAAAGATTTTTTTTCTAGGACTCGCATCATAAGGCTTTATTTTAACATCTTTGTTGCCTTTAAAAAAAAAATTAATTGAAGAAACGACGTGGGTAAAGGAAAACAAGAAGCATGTGCAGTGTACTGTGTACAATCTGCTTTAGAACTTGCAATATAAACCAGCCACTTTGTCAAGCCGTCAAAATCAAATATTTGAAATGTTTATTTCTGTTCGGTCATTTTGCTTGTTTAGTAACCGACATATTGCTTTTTGATGGACTTTCTGTGGATGCCTCGATTTGAAGAAGATTTATTTCAACGGATACCTTGCTTAAAGATTATGGTCTTGGTTTCCCTAGGTGTACGGTTAATTAATTAGAATGCAGCACATACTTTTTGGTGGATTTTCTTCTTCTGGCTATTAAATCCGGTCTAAAGATTATTGAGAATCTTTGTTGTTTGGAAGTCTTAACCAATTATTTACTTGGTATTTGAAGGTCAAGAAGCTTGAAAATGCTGTTGTTGAGCTGTTGAGTACTTACGAAAACTGTGACAACTTTTCATCTGCGATTCAGTCGGTTGGAAATATATATGAACCAAGAGAAGAGGTATTTAAATCTCTTTCCATGTTGAATTTCCCACGATATATTCGACATTCAGTTTGTTAATTTTCATAGTGCTGGTTCCTTCGTTTCCATACCTAATGATAGTTTATGTTGATCCTGTAGTTAACAGATTTTGAGAAACTACTTGACGATGAAGTTGCAAAAGTCAGTGAAAATTCATCTTCAAATTTGCAGAACCATTCAATAATTCGGAAGTTTAGAGAAGCTATTTGGGTATGCATCTTCATCTTATTTTCTATGCTCCGGGACAGGCAATTGGCACCTTGAAAGACAGTAGATTAGAAAGCCAGTGGAAAGTATTTCCATTTTATTAACTGATTATAGGGATTGCGATACCTCTTTGGCACTGATTACGCATGGTAGCAACAAAAAAGTTGTCAAATCTGTGCAAATAATCATCCTAAAACTGTGAAAACGCAACAGAAAGTACATGATAAGTAAACAAGAGAAACTACTTTGTTTGTTTGCAATTAAAGTACATGAGAAACAATTTTATTATTCTTCCAATTGTGTAGATATTTATCTTTCCAGTGCTTTGGCTCATCTCCCGATATTCCTGCAGAATGTACATCATGCAGGGCAACCAATGCCAGGTGAAGAGCAGGAGGACATTGTGATGACCAGTACTCAGTGTAATTTATTGAATGTCACTTGCCCATTAAGTGGAAAGCCTGTCACTGAATTGGCACAACCTGTTCGCAGGTATATTGCAACGAAAGATTTTTTCATGAAGAACGAAGAATTAGATATATTTCTTTTACTGTTGAAAAATAAGTCTGCTCATCTATTCACTCTGTACTAACAGCATGGATGGTTACATGCTTGTGTTATTCTCTCTGGTTACATTTATCAAGTGGGTGCCTGAAAATGGAATGAGCTAGACTTTCACTTGTGATTTTTTTCCCTCGTAATAAATTGACAACCACCCTGAGTTAGACTTAGACTGGTGACATTGGGGATGTGAGAAAAAGTAAAGAGAATTTAGAGGAATAGTTTAAATCACATGCTGGCAAGATGACAAATTTCTTAACAACTAAATAATGTAGGATCAAACAGTTATCTTGCGAGCTTTATTAAGGTGCATGATAAATGGGTCTGGTACTCGCTATTTGAGTTGATCTAATAGATCTTGAACTTTAAAAGTGTCTAATAGAATCTGAACTTTTGATTCTATCTCTACCTTTTACAATTTGTAGTATGGAATGCAAGCATGTGTATGAAAAGGAGGCTGTGATGCAGTACCTAAGATCTAAGAATTCTCGAGCTCAATGCCCTGTAGCAGGTATCCAGGTCTTCTACATGTAATGTAGTACATACAAAATGTATAGATTGCTTTTCTAGTTTTCTCACTTGAACTCTTTGTCCTTGTAGCCTGTCCTAAGATGTTGCAGCCAGAAAAGGTCACGCCTGATCCGTTCTTACTGATTGAAATTGATGAACTGAGAAAAACGTCTAGGCACTCTGTGAGAATACAAGATTTTACAGAGCTTGATGCAGAATAGCAACTCTGAAGTAGTTTCTTTGCCTTTTTCTCTTGAAGTCATCGTCGTAGTCGTCGTTACCGTAGTCGTTAAATTGTCATCATTTCATCAAATGCTTTGTTTCGTAAGTTGAGCTGGTTGGATTTAAATGGTATCTTTTTGTCCATGTTATTGTGAACATCGTGTTGAATGGAGAAGTAGGACCTCAGCTACAAACTGTAATTGCCCTTTGTATTGGAGCTGTTCTTTTTCTCCTCTGGTATGTAAATATCATTTCTATTTACAAAAAATTTTACTCTAAAATGTTCATTTGGCAAATATTTTTGAAAATTGGTTTAAAAAATATTTAAATATTTTGTTCGTCTTTAAATTGTTGTATTCTGGTTGATAACTTTCTATGATCATAATTCCATCGAACTTTTTTTTTTCAAGGTTTAATTTACTATATCCCATATTTATAATACTTAAAAAACTAATAAAAACTTGACACAAGTAATTTTTTATATATTATATAAGATAAATTCCATATTGGTAAAAGGCTTGGACGTATCTCTATGCTACTATTTTTGGTGGTCCAAGCACCCAGTACCGTACTAGACTAGGGGGTTAGGGAGTCGGGCGATAATAGCTCCTCCACGTCCAAAAGCGTTGTCAAATTTATTCCTTTCCATTCAACGAGCATTCTCGTCTACTTTGGTTTTTGTTAAATAATTAATAAAAAAAAAATAGCAAGGACTCAAATAATTTTTACATAAAATTTAGAGACTAGCAGAATAAGTACTTAATTTTTAGATTATTATTTAAATATTGATTTAAATCTAGTGGCTAAATTTGAACCTTATTTTAATAATTTAACCCAAATGATTTTTGCCAAAATATAAATATATGCTGCTGAATTCGACCACGCCAGCGTCGGTCGTCTTCTCCGGCTCCGGTAGACCGTCGGCGTCACTTGCCACTCACGTCCAGTAGCCATTTCATTTCAATCCAATGTTTCTGAGAGCTCCGCTGCTTAAGGTTTCATCATTTTACTCGATCCCATGTTATCCTCTGGTTCCCTTATCTCTCTATTCCTCGGTTTTTTCTTCTTCTCGCACACCATTTCCTATCCGATGCCACGCATCTCTCCCCGCAGCCCACGAACCATCTTCTTCAGCTCCTCCGCCTCACTCCCCCGAGGCGGCTGATAATCGCTGGAGGCCCATGTGTTTGTATTACACGCAGGGCAAATGCACAATGGTATTTTCAATTCCGGCTTTAAGTTGCTGCTGTACTTGTGTTTCTGAATGCCATTTTGTTTTCTTTGCTTCCGTTTTCTGAATTGAGCGAGGATTCTACATGACTGTGAGTGTTAAGTACTTGGTTTTGTGTTGTACACCACGTGTTCGATGATATTCCTCATAGAACCGTTACTCGCTTATGCTGCGTGTTGAGTTGTTTACTACTTGCATTTTGATGAGGAACTCTATAATTTGAGAATTGGGTGTGTAAAATAATGATAAGGTCGTTTCAGTTCTAAAAGTGCAGGAAGAATTTGTAACCCATATGAACAAAATTATCGAACGTTAGAGTTCGAAGAAAGGGTATGAATGTACAACCTTCCTTCATTGTTAATCAGTCTGATTGTCTCATCTTATGTGGTCTTCAGATTCTGATTGGATTTCCCAGTTGACAATCGCTGAAAAATTTATATGTTCATAATTTATATTACCCGGTTGTGTAGATGGATGACCCACTCCACCTAAAGAAGTTCAATCATGATATCTCCAGGGTGCTTCAAGTAAATGCTAGGTCAAACCATACGCGAACTCAGAGTCAGGATATTGATTTTTTTCTGGTACTTGATTTGGAGGGTAAAGTTGAAATTATTGAGTTTCCAGTCATATTAGTCAGTGCCAAGACATTGGGTGTGACAGGTTTTTTCCACAGGTTCTACCTGCTTCTTTGTGATGTGTTCATTCTTGCTATTGGTTATGTATTAATTTTTCTTTCCGCTTGGCAGATTATATACTTTATGCATTGCTATATTTCCCTATTACCTGTTTTGTCTTCTTAATAGATCTCCAAAGATTTTAATCACAATGAGCATATAGAAGGCATTAGCCGAATAGATACACACAAGCATACTAATGCCTTAATTTATTGAATATAAATTAAGCATGTGGTAAAATGTTCACTTATTTTGGAACTAGTTTAGCATATATAACGTGTAGTTAGGAAAACTGACTTCTGTGTGATTGAGATATGACATTTTCCAGGATGGCTACGCTTGTAACCTAATCGTGTAAAATGGCTTAATTTACAAGTTCCAAGTTCTAATATTGTAAACGAATGTTCTTTGGGTCTTGTGAAACAATAAATTTATGGTTTTCCTTTTTTTGTTTTGTTTTTTGGTTGGTATGTTTGTTGACCACTGCCTTAAATCCTTCCACAGGTTTGTTAGGCCATCAAACATGAGTGAACGAAGGATCAATGAATACATTGAAGGAAAATATGGAAAATTTGGAGTTGATCGGTGTGCTTCTAATCTATTTATGGCAAAGGCTTGATAAATGTTTTTGGGCAGTATAGTGCCTTCCCGTTTAGAATCTAATTAATTTCTTTTTATTAGCTGATGGTATAGTTCCATATTATAATATACAGTGTCTGGCATGACACAGCCATATCATACAAGGAAGTTATTCAACAGTTCGAAGATTGGCTAGTTGAGCATCAGCTATGGAAGAAGGAACTGGGTGGGTGTCTTGATCGAGCAGCATTTGTGACATGGTAATCCTCCTTTTCTCGTTTTACATATCCTAGCTAAATAATTCATATTGTAAATGTGGTATGTGTATCCATGGTTTGCCCAACAACTACGAGGTCTTTATAATTTTCATCGAATGAAAATGTGGAGGACCATCATCGGATTCATTTTATTGCACGATGTTGAAGTATAAACTGTTGCTTAACAAGTGTGATTATCAGTATCTAACGTTGAATGTTTTTTGTCTTGTTCCAGTGGCAACTGGGATATAAAAACTCAGGTTCCACATCAATGCAGCGTGTCGAATATAGAACTTCCCAACTATTTTATGGAGTGGATCAACATTAAAGATGTCTATCTCAACTTTTACCAAAAGAAGGTATAATGTATCTTTCATCCAGTAGCATCACATATTTGCCAAAATAAGGGTTTGTAGTATCAAATATATTTACTTTTAGGAGTCGAGAGTTTCAAAACCAATCTTCTGCTCATGGTTTTGCTTCTCTTCAACTTCTGGGACAAAACACTATACATTGGCTTAAAAATTTCAAAACAAAGTTCAATGTTCATTTTCCCGCATAGGAAAAATCAATAACGGAGACGATAGAATTAGTGACTGTGATTAGTTATACGTCTCAGATACGTTGCTTTTACAGGCTCATTTGTACAAAAAAGAAAAGTACTTCAATCACGGTTCTTAAATAAATGGACCTAGATGACCAATTATCAATTATGTTCTTTACTTCTGATGGTAATTGGTAGGCGACAGGAATGACGACGATGATGAGACAACTCGAAATACCCTTGTTAGGAAGCCATCATCTTGGTATAGATGACACAAAGAACATTGTGAGAGTTCTACAGAGAATGGTTGCTGATGGTGCACGTTTGCAGATCACAGCACGTAGGAATCCTAATTCTCCTCAGCATGTTAAATTTCTTTTTGAGAACCGTATTTAATGGTTTTTTGATTAATATTTGTCTGGATGATCTATGGATTATAAACTATAGGAGATCTCATCTTTCTGTGAAATTATGAACTTGTTAAGATGTATTTTTTTAGTCAGTTATGTTTCATGTGTTAAAATTTTACCAATGTCCTCTATTTGTCTTTTATTTGAGAGTAGATTTTTTTTTATTTTTTATTTTTTTTTATATCTATTTGAGAGTAGATTTGATTCTGAAAGATCGTCTTAAATCCATAAGAAAAGAACCGTTATAAAATTGTTACGTAGTGATCATGTCTAGTATAATGTATATTGATATCTGGTAAAATTGACATGAATATAGTATTCGTATAAAAAAATGGTTATATATCAATATCATTTATGGTTTTTTTAGTACAACATGTGGGGACAGAGATTTGAACTTACGACCTCTACTACCAAACTAGTTAGGCAGATCTTATTTATTTGGGATATGCATTTGGTAAATAAATAAATTACATAGGGATAAAATTGAAATGGATGAAATTGATACAAATCTAAAATGCTAAGAATAGAAGTTACAATTTAACCAAAAATTTTCTCTGACATTGTATTTTACTCTAATCTTTGTTACTTTTTTTTTACAATAAATTAAAATATGATTCGGACTCTTCACTTATTTATCCAAATAGCAATTAAAATTAATAGGCATGTCATATTAACGAAATACAAGCACAAGTCTATAAACGAAATTATGATTTTTTAAATTTTAGAGACTATATGGATCTAATATTTTTGGATCTAATATTTAAAGCATAAGGACTAAAGCCAACATGAATATAATTACTCGTTAAGAGTTTTTTTTTCCATTTTTAGTACAACACGTGGGAGTGAGAGATCGAATTCACAAGTTGGAGATATATGTCAAATTCTTGTTTCGAGATTCACTAATAAAATAAATTCAACAAATATCTACTTGTTAGGATTATCCAACTAACCTATTATGACACTAATAATAAGAGATTAGTCAAATAATAATAATAATAATTAACATATTGTGCCCATTTAAATATAACTTAGGGAATAATTTATAAGTTAAAAGGTTGAAATTCTTACAAATATCTTTAAAATATATAATTCACAAGATAACATTTGCTTATTTATGTTTCTGTTCTTTTTCAATCTAGTCCTTTATGTTATTACATTTTTTCAATTTAATTCTTCACTGGGTAACTGTTAAAATAAGCTTGTGGTAAACTTGGGAAAATTTAGAGGAGAAAAAAGCTCATCTTCCTAATTCTTCAGTTTATCGCAATAAAATTTTAATATTAGAGACTAAATTGAAAATTGGATTAAAAATTAAAATATATATTTAGCCTTTGAAAAATTTATAAATAAATAAATTATGATTATTGATTATAAATTAGTAGTTGAAACCTCCGCCCTTCTGTTTTCCGGTTTAGGGCCGTCGCGTCGGGGAGAAGACGAAGACGGCCGAAATTCGATAGCCATTAGAATGCGACTGAAGGAGCGCTGAAATTGGAGCTTCAAGAACATGGAACCTCAGCCTCAGCTCAAGAACAGCCCTAAACCGAAGCAGATGAACCCCAATTGGGCGCTACTCCAACAAGTACTTCTACTTCCCTCCATTCCCCCTTTGCCCCTCTCTCGTTCTATCGCTTATTTTCATCTTTTGATCCTGCAGAAGCTGAAAAGCCATGCTTCGAAGCATCCCAGGTTCTCTAATGTTCCAAAATTCGATACTTCTAACTCTGTTTTGGGTAAACGCAAGGAAAGATCTGATGTGGACTCAATTCGTTCTGACAAGAATCTTCTCATTCCAGTGAACGATGACTTTAGGTACTTTTTAAGAATTAAGTATAGAAGTTGATGTTTACTTGTTTTAGGCGTGAATTTGAGGGAAACTGAAGGATTTTTAATTGTTAATCATCAACTACTGGCACTGGTGACGATCATTAGTAGCAAGTTCATATTCTTCTGTCGTTGATACCTGATGTAGTGTTTGTTTTTTACTGATTAACTGGAGAAGATAAAGTTTATACCATTCGAGTCGTGTGACTAAACTATGCAATCAAATTAAGAATGGACTTGAAACTAAACAGATCAAATTCTGTGTGTGGCTTCTAATCATGTTGTATTTGAAAATCTTAGAAATATATTACGGTACAGCTTCTTTTTATAATTCAAAGATTTAAGTTTTTCAGTTCTCCACATACAATTTTATTCAAAGCTTGAAATCACTTGATTCCCTGATTTTGCTAGCTTTGCTTTAAAAATAAAAATAAAAATAATCCACTTTTGTACTTGGAGTCACGTTTTATTAATTAAAAAAAAAAAATTCGTAATTCAACTCATTGGGGTTAAAATTTGAAGAAACATCTAGAAATAAAATATTTGGGTTCCTTTGGAAGTTTACCCTACCTTTATAAAAAGCACACGAAAATTACTATCTGGCCTAACTATCTTTGCAGTGTTACAGATGTAGTAGCCATGGATTGCGAAATGGTTGGTGTGGGTCAAGGTAACAGAAGTGCCCTTGGACGAGTTACACTGGTATTCATTGATTCATTTTCAATCACCTGTTATTCATATCCATGTAATTGGTTTCTTTCATTGTTATAAGTGGCAGCTTCTTGGAGCGCATAAGAGTTAGGTTTAACTTCTCTAGGTGATTAGTTGCTAACAGTACTGCCAATTAATGGCAGGTAAACAAATGGGGAAATGTTATATATGACGAGTTTGTGCGACCCATAGAGCGCGTTGTTGACTTTCGGACTCAAATTAGTGGCATAAGACCCTGCGACCTGAAGAAAGGTGACAATAGTTTTCTTTTTTTGAACATGAATATTTTATTGTTTACATGTATTACTACTTGAGTTTTAATGATGTTGGAGACTCTTGCTAAGTCGCTATGTACTATTATCACCGTGAGAAAAGCAATGCACTAATTTGATTTACTGAGAGGGAAGTGAAAAATTGAGTATGTAGATATTGATGAAAAGTAAATCTATTTATAGGGTATTGTGCTTTGTCTCTCTCATTGATTAAGAAGATAGTCTGGGATTTGGATTCTTTAGGTTCCTGGTATTTTACTCTTCATATTTCTGTTCTTTAGGTTACTTTAGGCTTCATAATTGCCATTGACATAGTTGATATAATGTTATCATTTTCAGCGAAGGATTTCCCAACAGTCCAGAAGAAGGTTGCAGACTTGATTAAAGGAAAGATTGTCGTTGGCCATGCCTTGTGTAATGACTTTAAGGTATCTGGATTAATGTAGTTTACACTGAAGCATAAACCTGAGAAACTAAAGCAAAATTCTCTTTTGACAGGCATTGCTCTTAAGCCATCCCAAGAAAGATTTGAGAGACACCTCCGAGTATCAATTCTTTCAGAAGTAATAATTTTGCTCCCCACTGTACTTTATAACCTCGACCTTTTTGCTTCTACTTTGAAATTTATCCATTCTCAATTGTTTGGTGGTACAGGGAAGGATGTAGAAGAGCTCTCCGCCATCTGGCAGCCGAGTTTCTTGGTGTCGAGATCCAAAATGGGGAGCATTGTCCTGTTAGTTCTCTAATCATTTGTCTTCTATATGTTTTCACTCATCTTGTTAAACTGCCAGAAAAAATTGGGTATTGATTATAATGGACAGCTTTTAAGTTCCCAAAGAGTTGGAAATGTTTACCCAAAGTAAAATAGAAGTTTTTTATGCTTCCACCAAGATTTTATGGTTGCTACAAGGGACCTACTCTACCACCATGTTACTTGATTTCATTATAAGATTCATGATCACAAAAAGCAAGGATCCCCATCTCAGTTCAAATTAACTTCTAAAGTCTGGCCCCATTTTGCATGTTTCGTGAACCATATATATCAATTCATTCTTCGTTATTGATATGCTGTCATGTGACGTTTTCGGGCTCATGAAATTTTGACTGAACTTCCATTTATAGATAGAAGATGCTCGATCTGCAATGCTGCTGTATCAGAAGAAAAGGAAAGAGTGGGAAAAGAGTCTCAAATCTGAAATGAAGCTCAAATTGAAGCAGAAGAAACGCAAGCCTAGGAAGAAATCCAAGGATGGAGGTGGTTTTTGAATGATTTGATCAAACCCCTAATGTCTTAATTTGATTCAGATCTTAAAATATGTGTAACTTGCTAGTATAGGAGTGACTAAATGAGTTCCATTCTTTTATTTTGTAAGTTAAGATAGGCCCAGAGGTTGGGAGGGAGACCGTTGGCCTGTGTTGTAGGCCAAATTTTGATTTTCAGACTCGAAAAGAATTACGGCTCACTAAATATAATCTTCAATCATGAAAACTATGTAATGGAGAAGTTGATGTAGGTTGTCTTTAAGAGCACTATTTTTAGTTAAAATTTCAAATCAAATCAAGCTTGGAAGAAATGTGTGATCCTCACGAGATAACTGTCTGATTTTAATATATCTTATTGTCAAGATAAATGATTTCGGTACTAGAAATGCATGTCATACCTCGATTACTTGAGCTCGAGTAAGTATTAGAGTTTTGTATGGATTGATTTTTCTCTCTAATTTTGGTAACTAGCTAAGCTACTATAATGGCAAAAGGGAAACATTTAGCAACACGGGAGTACCATTGCTTTTATTATTTTGTCTTCATAAATAATTCTTTAATATTGCAGGATCCCAATATTAAGATTTTTTTTAAATGTGATCATATTTTCGTAATACCAGAAATTTTCTCGATCTTCTCAATTGAACTTGTGTCACATCATATTTGGGATGAATTTTACACACTTATCTAGTTAGATGTGGACCATTCATCCTATCTACAATGCTTTTAAGAAATAAATGAGTATTTACTTTTATCCTTATGCTAATTCGATTGTATTCCTCCTACTTTATTACTTTAGATTACGGAATCTATTCAATCAAACATGGTATACTTACTCAAATTTCTCGTACTAGACATGTGAATGGACGAATGGTCTCCATTAGTCCACATGGACTCATCAATGGATGTCATTTAGACACGTAACTGTCCGAAAATTTCACCCACCATATAATTTATGCAGTTAATTTGACTCTAAGTTTGTATATGACAAAATAAGATGAAATTGTTAGCATGTGACAAAGACATCTATTAGTAACAGCCCATTTTATAAATTATAGTTGGTTTCACTCTACTCTTGTTAATTCAACCAAAAAAGAACTATCCTTACAAAAATGAACTGATAAAATTATGAATGTTAGGACATATTCTGAAGTAAATTACAATTTTTCTTTTTGGGGAAGAGAAAAAAAACGGTTGCTCGAGGCCAATCAGAAATTTAGCTCTGGAAGAGAAATGGGAAAAACGAGAGCGATGTTTTGATGTTATTCAATGAATTCTCAAACACGCCCGATCAACAAACACTCTCTCTCGCCGATCACTCACAGTTTGCAGTAAATTCCCTCTCCCATTGGATTATTTTCTCCGGTTTTAGCGATTTTTTCTTTGCTTTTTCGCTGTTGCTGCGCTTAGTTACTGATCTTCATTATCTTTGGGGTCGATCTCTAGCATATTGTTTGATTTCTGGAGACTGTCGGAGTTTGCTGCTGATTTCTTGCTAGTGGTGAAGAAGCCAAAGTTAGTGGATTTTTATTTTACACATGAACTGTATGATCGTGAGCATTGGGTATTTTTTCCCTTATTTTGTTTTTCTTTACTTTGATTTTCTAATGGGTTTTCATTGATGGGGTTAAGAAGCAAGATTGCATCCCTGAAAGAGTTATTCGTGGGATTATGAAGCTTTTGACGGTTATGGATGGAATATTATAGTTTGAGTTGCATTTTATGCCTTTTTAGTTTGCATTATATACATTTCTGAACTAAAACGTCCTTGATTTTAAGTTATTTGTGATTTTGGCGTAGACTTTTAGCGGAAGTTATATTTTTATTTCACTAACTTCATTTCTTTTAGAAGCATCTACAATACTCATAAAATTTAGGATTTGATGAAATCCCAACTTTTTTTATATTTATTGTGCTACTTACTCCTTGTATTGTAATTTGTTTGTCCTTAAAGGTACCTTTGCACTGAAGTTTAAAAAAAAAGAAAGATATATATATATATATATATATATATATATAGCCACTCCCTATTCACTACCCAATATTTCCCATAGTGATCTTAGGCGTTGACAATTAAGGATGATTTTATAGGAACATTTTGAGGGGAAAAGAAATGTACATTGTTGGTTGTTCATGGAGAAGTTGGATGAATGATACTGGATGTTGGAGTAAAAAACCAGCTGGTTGATTAGGATTACTCGCATGGATTTAGAAAATAGCTATAGATTTTGTGGTTGGAGTAATGAAAATATTCCCAAGGTGAAGTAAATTAATGATATCCTAAAGTGGTGGTGGAAACAACTTTGTCGCTTATATTTGGGTGAAAGAAAAAATCTGATAGAGTTTCATTTTTCTGTTCTGGTGATTGATAGATGCATTATAGTTTGCTTCGGGTGGTGCATTTACCTTTTATTTGTGATTTCTAAAGTAGAAGTGTTGTGCCAAATGTGCGACTTTTTCCATGATGTATAATTCATATTTCTTGGCATGTGTAGCGTCTGTGGCTTTTACCTATTCTCTCATATGAAAAGGTAAATTTAATTCATCTCAGTATTGTTCATCATGGGATGGTTCTCTTGTTTCATTAGTTTTAATAAAACATTCATCACGTCAGTTTTCTTATTTGAGATGTTTGTATTTTAAACTGCTATTTTTTGTTAATATCATTTAATAGAATGCCGATTTCCATTATAGTTTTGGTTTAAGAGCAGGGATAGTTGCACTTTCATGGACATAAGGAAAAGGACACTTGCCCCTAGCCATACGACTTCGGCAATTGATCTGGAATTAGATCAACAAGGCCAGGGAACCTTCTCACAGAGGAGTAATCATTCAATGGTTACAGGTTTTAGAAGCTCAACCAATCCTGAGGTTCAACATCAACCTGAGCATGCTAATGGTGCCATACTCTATGCAATGAGCCAATACAGTGGTTCTATGATTCAACGTGCTCAAGATATGTGGGTTGCAACTGCTGGCAATCCCTGTTCTTATCTGACCTCACCATACGGTAATGAGCAGTTCCCATCTCCAAGAAGTGGATTGATGGGAATTCCTTCAGATGCATATGCAAGGAATAGTCATTTTATTGAGGAGGTTGGATCTCCGTACAAGAGAAGATTTGCCGAACCAGTTCTTGTGAATTTCCAGGGTCCCAATAGCTCAGCAAGTTCCGAGTCTTTAAATGCACCTTTTGATCCAATGTTTTGTCATACTCGAAGCCATTTGGCTAGAGGAGAATACATGGTTCAGCACCTTCAGCCAGCTAGCAATGCTCTCTGGTTAGACCAACGTTTCAATTGTAACTTTGAAGATAGAGGTGCTTGGAACTGGAACCACGCCCCTGCAGGTTTCCCTGTTCATGGTATGTTATTCTTCGTCATTCCATTTAAAAACATTGGTTCGTCTTTAAATATTAAGCGTAACTATTTTCGTTTGTAGCAATTTCTCCAAAAAAAGAAGGGTAATCATGATATTAATTACTTTTGTTCAGAATATGCTATTTTTTCCATCTACGTTGCTAGACTTTATTGGCGAAATTTTTTTTTTTCAAACTACTTCCTTGTTATCAGTTTCTGTGCAAAAGCATACTGTTGAGTTCTGCACCCATTTTTTGCTTAACTTTGTTGAACTTTATAGCAATACACTATTTTACAGGGGACAATGCCATTAGAGGCGCTTCCGAAAATTCAAACTCGGGTCTTCATAGATATAGTGAAATTGGTGGGATGAATTGTTCGCCCAGTTTTCAGCATCCTCCTTCCACATTGATCCAGCATCCCAGTTATCGAATTCCATTACCTCAACCGCACTTGCAAGGACAAAGAGGCCAAAATATCTGTTTAAATCCTCCAGTAGCGGCAGTTACACAAAGGTTTCCTTTGAGTTCTGCTTATGGCATCATGCACCAACAGTTTTTGGAGTTAGAGCCTAGGCAGACGAGAGATCTTCCATTTAATGACCGCAGGGTGTATAACCCTCATGAGACAATGTTTCGACGCCACTTGACTTCTCGAATGAGAGTTCTGCAGGAGGGTGTAACTATTCTTTCTATATTTCTGCCACTTATTCTGAATTTTTTGGCTGTCTTATATTCTGCATTAGTCAAGAAACTTACTACATGTTATTAAGACTATATTCATGAACTAGATGAGATGATTTTGTTGTCTTATGCAGGAAGCTGGAGTGCCCGGGGCACAGGCTTCGGCTTCGGCTTCAGACTCCAATGATATAGGGGATGCATACAGAGATATGCGCCTGGATATCGAACACATGTCATATGAGGTGAAAGGAATTCTCATTTTCTAGCATGAGGAACTTCACTTTTATTAACATAACAATGTGACTAATGCCAATATAGGAGCTTCTCGCATTAGAGGAGCAAATTGGCTATGTCGGAACTGGGTTGTCCGAGGAAATAATTACAAGCCAACTGAAGACAAGGATTTCCATGCCATCTGCAAGGGATGCAAATTTGGAAGAAGCAGCATCAAGGAATGAGGAAACCAATTCCTGCACCATATGCCTGGTAACTTCATTAATATGTAATTTGAACTACATTTAATTGCTTCGTCGATATATTTATATCGATTCTGTTATCACGAAGAATGTAGTTCTTTAGCATTGTGAACTTAACCAATAGTAATATACTGTTTAACATGTGGGTGGCCACAGGACGTGATCGAGGACGGGAAGAAGATTGGAATCCTTGACTGTGGACATTATTATCATGCGGATTGCTTAAAACAATGGCTGCTTATAAAGAATGTATGCCCTGTCTGCAAATCTGAGGCATTGACTAGATGAATGAATAGTCGAGTTGGGATCGGCTTTAGCTGTTTGTTGTGATCTTACAACGATCGGTTTAAACTATGTTAGACGTTTGTAAATGTATTGCACATATGTAAGAGAGAAAGATCTAACTCTATTTTATTTTTGTGGTTTTCTTAAACTGTTGGATGTATCTTTGTATAGAGTTCTTGTTATGTTTATATTGTCAAACTGTACAGATGGAATGCTGGTTTTGGATGTGTTCAGAATGAACATTTTGTTCTGTTCCTTATATTTTTTTGTTCATTTTTTTTATTAATAATTGATAACCATTTCTTGGGTGTTTTTTCAAAAGAATTTAAGAAAGTACCCTTGCCTACAGGTCACTGTCACCATGTTTCAAAATCGTCCATTTTTTGTTCCTAAATTTTAAAAATAGGTTTAAATAGTCACTCAACTAAAGTCTTTCCTTAAGTATCTCACAAGAAATATGATTAGGTTGACGTATACCAGTTTGAAACAAAATAAAATAGGCATGCAATGATATCCTAATACGTCCATGTGGTATATAACATCTAAGCGATGCTTATATTTTAATGTGTGATGGTTATACTTATATTACTAAAATATAGCCAATTGGTAATTTGTCCAAAGATATTCATAGAAAAAAAACTTTTTTTTTTCAAAATCCATTTCAAAGTTCCAAACACACACTTGTATAACATTCTAACAATACGAATTGAACCTGGAACTTAATAATATATGAGAGAGTAAAGTTTCTAGAAATGAGTATAAAAAACTTTAGGGAGAGTGTAATTTAACCTTTGAACGCCTATATATACACAAAAATCCATACAGTTTCAGGCAGAAGCTTTTCTTTATAATAACTAGGGATAGTTTGGCTTTGGGGATAAAAGTGGATTCTGTGGAGAAACAAAACCTCCTCCTAAGCACAGCAAATTGAAGAAACTAAAAAAATTCTGCTCCCATTTAACAACTGAACATTTTACCTAAATACAACTTCAGTTTAACAGATCTCTCTATCTAGAACAATCTGATACATTTAAAACTATGGGGCATACAAAAATTAGAACAAAATAAGAGAGTGAGCTCGGATAAGAAAATACAAGGAATTGACAATAAGAAGAGGTGTCAATTTCAAAAGAACTCCAAACAGGAATCCAACCCTCCGAGAAGCTCCAGCACCATAAAAAATGACACCATAAACTAAATGTTTGTTTGTTGAGCAAATCCAGGAGTGGAAATTCAAGACATAGCATAATGAACTCATCCTTTTTTACTCCTTTGATGATTGATGATGTACCTCATATTCAAACGATGATGATCATGAAGAGCAGCAACCAACTTTCTTCACTGCTGAAACATCATCCTTGTTTCCAACGTTAATGGTTTGTCCTTTAGGCAATGCCGCGGGATCCTCCCCAATCTCGAGCGCTTTTCTGCAAACTACGCGATAGATTTGGGTTAGCACTTCGGTGAAAGCATTCTCTACATTGAGAGACTCAAGCGCAGATGTCTCCATGAAGAATGTGTTCTCCCTCTCTGCAAAGGCCTTGGCATCCTCAGTTGAAACAGCACGCAGATGTCGTAAGTCTGCCTTGTTACCGACTAGCATTATCACAATATTGGAATCAGTATGATCTCTAAGCTCTTTCAACCATCTCTCGACGTTTTCAAACGTGACATGTCGTGTGACATCATAGACAAGCAATGCACCAACCGCCCCTCGATAGTATGCACTTGTGATTGCTCGGTATCTGGCAAAAAGAAGCATATATAAGAGATGACTTCACAATAGTTTCATATATTACCCAGAAGGTAAACCAAGACAAATGGAACAAGTATCACCAAATAATAATAAAAGGCAGGTTTTTTCACTAGTCTCGTTTGAGGTTACATATCATGAAACCTCTGCAACACTTTCAAGTCTTCAGTATTACCTTTCAGGCTTTGCTACCAATGCCAAATCTACACAAAAAATAAGCCTTGCATACTAAATTTTGACACGAGCCTGATTAGTTATGGATTGCATTTCAAGTTCAACTTGTAAATGGGATCTTTCTACGACAGCAAGTAGATATAAAAATCACAACATAAATAGTCGGTGAATGCATGGCCTAAGCGAAACTCAGCATTCAACCAACCTATGATCCGTTTATTTGTTTCAACTGACTACCAATCAACCACATCTTAGATCCGTGCCTTAAATGAGCTTACACTATGCTACTAAGTTAAGTAAAGACAAAAAATAGATTCGAGACTATATCAGTTAGGTGGCTGGACTGGGGTTTTAGAAAACTCTCTACAAATTCGTTTTTGCAAGAGACACCCTAGGTGGTTTGGTGATGTCTCCGGCAGCCTTACTGAGATCAGACCTCCCGAACAAATAATTTGTATAAAAGGCTGGGATTGGTAATAAGAATCATTAGCAGTCATCACCTTGCAGAGAATAAGAAAACAAATCGACCATAGAGGCTGAATGGGAGTACAAATGCACGGAGCCAGAGCCACACTACACTGATGAAGGTAAAAAGAACCAATTGCATCATACAGAAACTGGGCCAAAATTCTAGAACTCCTTTTCTAAAGGCAAATTTCAATAACAATGGCAACAAAATTTTGTCTGGGCACGAGTATTCTTCTCTTGTCAAATCCAGATTACTATTTTAAAGAGAGGTTTCAGAGTCCACTTGAAAATGGGGGCCCACCACTTGAAGATCGATGGTGACGTCCCATTACCGATCAAAATTAACAACTCTAAAACTGGCACAAAAAATGGCGTGTGTAAAAATAAAAAAGCATTAAAATTTTTTCCTGAAACTGAAGGTACCTAAAAATGTAATTCCGAAAACTCCAATTGCATTAGATAAATAACGCAGTCACCATCTCAATTCTCAATAAGCAAGCAATTCCTTAATACCAATATCTGAAAGCCATTTAGTTCTTAGATCCTAAACAACAGAAGAACACATCTAAAAGCCCTATAAATCCAAATTCCGACGTCCCCGTCGCGGCTTCCCAACAACTCAGTTAAAAATCGAAATCTAAAGAATAGCAGGATCAGATCTCAATGAACACACAGAAAACAGAAAGATCAAGATCGAGACGAAGACAATGCGAGAATGGAACAGAATGAGGGAAGTGTAAGAACCTTTCTTGACCAGCGGTGTCCCAAATCTGAGCCTTGACGATCTTGTCATCGACCCGGATACTTCTAGTAGCGAATTCGACACCGATTGTGGATTTGGACTCGAGACTGAACTCATTGCGCGTAAACCTGGAGAGGAGATTGGATTTGCCCACACCAGAGTCCCCGATGAGAACCACTTTAAAGAGGTAATCGTAGTCGTCGTCCGCTCTATACGCAGCCATACTTAATCAGGTCGGATCCGATGCCTCTGGTTTTCCACGGAATTCGATGGGTCTGAAAACGGATCAGGAGGTGGAGCTCCAAGGCATGAGAGAGAGAAACGCAGAGAGAGAAAGGTTTTGAAATTTGTTGAAGACGATCACGCGTTACGTTTCATCGGAAACGGATTTCGCTATGCGCGTCTTGGACTGGGCTCCTTAATGGGCTTCGGCTTCCTAACAATGGGCTTAGGCTTGGGCTTGGGCTTGGGCTTTCGACTATTACCTTTATTATTAAAATTTTCGAAAATTTTAGGGTTAAATGATCTCGGTTGTTCCTGAATTTTGATATAATAACGAGTTGAGATGAGGGAATACTCGCCTCGCCCCATTCCGTTTTCTGTTTATCTATATAGTTTTAAACGAAGGCGAACTCAGCCAATTTTTAGGAATTGGTTTTTGCTTGCCTCTACTCTAATAAGATCCAATAAAGAGGAATAAGTCGGGTCGGAACCTGATAGAATCAATCAATTGCATAAGATATGCCAAAACCAGCTACTAGTAGGGTGAGTAGTTGGAAAAAATTTTCCCTCTAAGAATTTAAACATGTAAATGAAGATTTATCATGGGGATTAAGTATTTAACTAGAAATTTCTTTAGATAATTTATTCAATTGAAAAATTATTTTTTAAATATAATAATAAACGGAGAATAATTCCTTTAAGAAATCTTGCAATGATGAGGATTGAAATGGAGGGGAGACGAGGACATGAACACCCCTAACCTATATGACTCTAAGGTATACACATGATAGCAGATTAATAAACATCCTATCAAGTCATGTAATATATATATATATATATATATATATATATTTATTTATTTATTTACATTTTCATGCAATAAAAGGAAAATAACTATGAAAATTAAAATGGTATTTTAAAAAAACATTAAAATCAACATTTTGAAAATTTGGGATCGAAATGAAATGATTTTAGTACAATATTTTAATTTTTTTGGGTTTCTTAGAATATTAGATCATAAGTAAAGGGTGAGAATTCGAACTTAAACCTAGAGGTATAGGTGTCTAACCACAGTACTAAGTTGGTATGAATATGTTTTTTTCTTATGACATGAAAAAAAATTTTATAACTGAAAATATTTATAAAGAACGGGATGGTTTTGATAATGAGATTACTGTAAAATGGTATTACTGAAAATTTTTCTATGGACCATGTTAGGGTGTAGAGTTTGAAAAAACAATTTTAATGACAAGTCAACGGTTTGGACAAAATGAAGAAAAGAAAGTCATACAACTTTAGCACATGCATTCATGAATAATGAATAATGAATATCTTATGTGATTGTATCAATAATTAGTATATGCAGAATAAGAAGTATTTGTTTTAGTGGTCAAAGTAAACATCAGCGATAATTGACATATATTTCCAATCAAGAGGTGATGAGTTCGATCTACCACCTCCACATATTGTACTTTTGTTTTAATTAAGTTGAATTTCTTTTAACATAAGAATGACAATCGGATAATTTTTATCAAGGGGTTTTGTTTGTTTGTTTTTTATAATTATTTTAAATATATTGGGCTGGATTTAGGCTTTAAAGAGTTGGGCTGATTTTTCTATATTGGGCTAAACTTGGGCTTTAAAGAGTTGTGTTGATCTTTTCCAATAAAAATTTTAAAAAAACAATACACATAAAACCGAGTAGGGTTAGGGACGAGGGCTTAGGTTTTTACCCGTACCTAGAAAATTTCTAGTCCTACGATAGTAGAGAAGATTTTCATACTACTCTGATACCGATTAACTTTATCTCATGTGTAATCTCTTGTGAGATTATTTTAGAAATAAAATAAAGTGAGCCCACAAGATTTTAAAATGAAAAAAAACCCACATATCATTCTCT